CAGACAGACATATACAACTTACAATCCTTCCATACAACAAATATAGTTGACCTATTGCTTATAGTTTAAGAAAAACAGACCAAAACACAAAAACTTAACACTGCGTAATGAACCGTGAAAATGAGGTCAAGGTCAAATAAAACCTGCGAGACTGACATGTACATCATAAAGTATTTCCATACACCAAATATAGTTGACCTGTTATATATAGTATTCGAAAAAAAGACCAAAACTTAAAATTTTAACTTTGACCACTGAACTATGAAAATAAGGTCAAGGTCAGGTGACACCTGCCAGTTGGACATTCACACCTTACAATTTTTTCCTTTAACGTAAATACATAGATGTTCCTCTATGTAATTGTCATTAATTCGCGGTGAATGCAGCTTTGTTGACGTTTTCAGACGTCAAAAATACGATGTCGTCAAGGTTTATTAGAGTAAAGTTTGTTTATTATGCTATGTTAACATCTACTTATTTTTTTGTTGAACAATATTTTGTAAACACCCGGTGGTAAAACTGTTGTGTGTGATTTTTCTGCCAAAATTTAATTTCATTTCATCTTCAGAATTGTCAGTCGATAGAAAAAAATGTTCCATTCCCATATTATAATATATTGCGAAGTACAATGATTACACTTTCCTTCGTGTAACATTATTCTCTTAGTTGCCACCGGACATTGTACGGATGCCTTTGTACTAACATAAGCAAAACGACGGTGACACATATGGAACAGGATCTGATTACCTACCGGATCATCTGAGATTACCGCAAGTTTTGGTGGGGTTCGTGTTGATCAGTCTTTGATTTTCTATGTCGTGTTTTGTGTACTATTGTTTATCTGTTTGGTCCTTTTCTTTTCTAGCCATGGCGTTGTCAGTTTACTTTTGACTTATGAGTTTGATTATGCCTTTGATAGCTTTTGCCTCTTTCGGATATTATTTTGTAAGCTTAGCAGTTGAGCTTGCGTTTTACACAAAGCAAAGTTGTATTCATTTTTTTTTTCATTAAACAATAGTTTTTCAATTTTGATGAATGTTTTTTCGCTTTGTTAAAATGCTCAACAGGACATAGGAAATTAAGGCTGTATTAAGGGCTATTATGGCAGAATCTATATAAATATTTATCTATCAGAACGTGTTCTTATTCTTATAAAAAAAAACGAAGGAGATGTTGTATAAGAGAGGGGCGAAAGACACCAGAGGGACAGTCAAACTCATAGATCGAAAATAAACTGACAACGCCATGGCTAAAAATGAAAAAGACAAAGAGACAAATAAAAGTACATATGACACAACATAGAGAACTAAAGACTAAGCAACACGAACCCCACCAAAAACTGAGGGTGTATTATGCCAATGCGATAATACACCATAATAGACAAAAATGACACAGAAATTAACTATAGATCACCCTACGGACATCAAACATGAGCAAAGCCCATACCGCATAGGCAGCAATAAAAGGCCCCGAAATGAACAATGTAAAACACTTCAAACGACAAAACCAACGACCGTATTAATGTAGAAAATAATAAACGAAAAGAAAATATGTAACACAACAAAACCACGAAAATCTACTGAATCACATGCTCCTGGCCTGTAACAGGCACACACATAACACAGCGGGATTAAACATTCCAGTAAACAACTATTTACTGATTCTTCTGACAGTTCTTTATACTATAATTGTACATTAAATGTTTCTTTTATTATCCAATAAGCCAGAGGAAAAGGAGAAAGATACCTACCATATATAAATGCAAAGAAATATGCTGTGTCGCTAAATATATATCTATGTGCATATGTAAAAATGGACTTAAACACACAAAAGTTGTTACAAACACCATTTAAAATCAATTACTATAATAAGTTGTCGACTGACGATTTTATTCACTAATTTATTTGGAGTTCTTGTCTTGCTGCTGATTGTTGCTCTTAGAAGTATCTATCTGTCTATTATAGATTTATTAATGATAGGCAAAAACACACAAAAAAATTTACACAATAACCATGTGAGTTCAAACCTTTCAATGAGAAGTCGTCAGACGGTGTCGAACATAAGCTTATTTGATCGTGGATTGTTGATATTAATGACTTTACAAGATTCTCTCTTTCTATTTTAGTTCGCACGACAATATGCACAAATGAACAAAAAATGAAACAATTGTCATTTATGAACAAACAACTTCTACGAATAATTGTCTTGCAGGTTCTAAATGTAAACGGTCAGTAGGAAAACTCAACATTCTGAACAATTCTGCCTCATTCGATTTTCTCTATTCATTGTGGTTTTCAAAATAAAATACATTGTACATTACCACTTTGTTCTTTTTTTAAGCAATTTCTGCCATGTTTGTCGGAAATGTTATCAGTAGATACATTTTCCATACTAGATAGAACAATGATGATTGTGGATAAATTTAGTTACATTTGACCTTTTGTTTGTGAGGGAAAGATGATTGTATAAGCATGAAGAGTACACTGACGGCAGGCGACAACGGACTACAACTAATGACGGACGCGAAGTGATTTAAAAAGCTCACTTGGCCCTTTAGGGGAGACGAGCTAAAATTTCGATTGCTGATGTATTAATTGTGAGAGCAAAAGTTAGAAGATAGAGATGTCAGTTCCTCGTAAGCAAATCTTGGGCAAGCCTCCTATTTTTCAATAAGATTGATTCGTGACAAGATGTTTTAATACGTTTAATTCGCCACTTTCTATATAAGAAAATGTCGTTACCAAGTCAGGGATATGACAGTTGTTATTCATTCGTATGGAGTGTTAAAGCTAATGGTTTTGCCTTTTTTGTCAAGGTGTTCTGTATTTTTGTTACATGTACTTTCCTTTAAAGCCACGTCAGCATTGGATACAAAGGTAATTCGAGACGTTGCCGGTCTCGCGGTATTCTTAACTTTGTTATCCATTCGTTTGATGTGTGTGTACTTTTGATTTCGTCATTTCTACGGAGTTCGATATTTTTGTTATTTTAATTTTTACACATCAAACGAATAAAAACAACTGTCATATTCCTGACTTGGTTTGGTCCTGTATTATATAGTCCGGTTTTATGTTGAACTGTTGCACCATTGTTCAAACTTAGGACGAGGTTGGCGCACCTTTAAAGTAGTTTCTCATTCTGTTTTTTTTTGTCCAAATCAGGAGCCTGTAATTCCATGGAGGTCGTGTTTTGCTGTATATCATGTTTGCTTTTGTTAATTATTTTGTACATAAAGCTGGCTGTTAGTTCTATTCTTTGACTTGTTGTACATTTGTTATTCACGGGCCTTCTATAGCTGTCTATAGATATTACTTATTGTTGAAGGCCGAACGGTGACTTATAGCCGTTAATTCATGTGTCCTTTTGATCTCTTGTTGATAGTTGTCTCATTGGCAATCAAACCACATCTTTTTATTTTCATTTGGTACAGGCATTTCCTTATGTGGAAAATGTAGAATTATGACATATATTTATAAATTAGAGTACTGACATATACTTAAAACAAGAAGCCTCAGTTGCCTAGTGAATACATTTCGAACTTCTGTATAATTAGCCCACAAACACTGAAATTGTGAGTTGGCATTCCGCACATGGCAACAAGGCAAGTGCATTCTACTTCATTCCTTATTGACTAAGATTGTCAGTTTTCTCACCGCAGGTCAATGTATAACTTAAAACCATAAAACAATTGTGTTTACATGTAACTTATTTATAGAAAGAAATCTCATAGAATTTAGATGGACTTACAACACATGTACTTCCTGGTATTAGATCTTTGGTAACGGATGATAACTTATTATCCATAATATGTTTATAAAACAGGTACTAGTGATTGATTGATTGATTGTTGTTGTCTTAACGCCACTTTGTAGCACCGCATTTAGGCTATTTCGGGGCGGTAAGTTTTTATTTGTGGAGGAAGCTGGAGTGCCCGGAGAAAGCCACCGACCTTCGATAGGAAAACTGACAATCCTAGTCAATTAAGATTGGAGTCAAGTGCACCTGTCAAGTGCACCTGCAAGAGCGGGGTTCGAACTCAAAACCTCAGTGTTGACTGGATAGTGATTACAGTAGTAACTACTTAGACTACTCGGCCACCGAGGCCCCTAACAGGTACTAGCAAAATAGAAACAAATGTCATGGTGAGAAAAAAGAAACAGACATTTCAAATCTACATAATTGATTAATTGGTTGATTGATTAATTAGTTGAAAGATGATTTATTCATTCCTTAACAGACAGGACAAAAATAACACTAAACATAGTTTGCTGCACTAAAATATACCATCAACAGATATGGTTATTAGGATTTCTGCATGAACTCTTTCGACAAGGTAAATGCAGTTCTCTACATTATTGTTCGTGAGTAAATTATTAAGTAATGCAATTGCTTCCGCCGAAGATTCAAATATAGAAAACATTTGGGTTTTTTTTTTTTTTTTTTGGTGTGCAGAAATTCGAGTATAAGTTTACACAACCACACAAAAAATACATATATATATATATATACATTGATTTAAGTACGAAACACAAATCTATTACTTGCCCGCAAAAGTCTTAGAAAATATACAGTTACAAAATTATAGTCGTCTGTTTTCCAATACAAATAACAGAAAATTGGTGCCAGTGGCATCGCCCCTTCCACATAAAAAAAAAACAATTTTGAGCCGTTTAAGTATCATAAAAGTTGTAATGTATTTGATTTTTAACTTGTTTTTACTATATGATAATAATTGTGTACAGATGCAGAATTAAGAGATCTTGTATTTATTTTTGAAAAAAAAATCAAAAACGGCTTTTTCTGGGAGTTCCACCGAACCATTCTTTGAATCCATAAGTAGTTTTAATTTTGTGAGTTATATCGCATACCTTTAACGTCGTTTAAAAGGCAAAATATGGTGTCAATTTCAAGTTAATGGTTTGATGATTTTATATTTTATAAATGTTCTGTTAAATCGTCAGAAAATACGGTTAAGCATACGATTTTGCTACCTTTTAAAGACATCCTTGGCCTACTATAGGGTCATGGTGAAATTACTAATTATATATATCTTTGTCTTTTTGAGAACCTTTTGTAAACAGGTTTAAACCTATGATAAAGGTGGATTGAATGCGTACAGATTTAAATTATTTGATAGGAAAATTACTTAAAATGGCCTCATTTTCTGAAACAGCTATCCGACACATCTGGTAAGTTTAATGTGGTTTTCTTATTTTCTTTTTTTTCATTTATTGCGGTAGTATAGCTTGAAAAAAGTGTTATTCTTAAATTAGTATAAAATTCAATCAATTATACATGCTTAAAAAAAAGGTCTGAAATGCAACAACTGCCGTTACACATTTTATTGATTCTATCGCTACAATTGCTGACTCTGCACCTTTTATAATGTGCCAAGAATTGCGTAAATGTACAATTGTGAAAAATGCATCATAATTAACAAAATAAATTTCAATAAAACAATAAAATCCGATATAGTGAAAGAGCAAGCATTTAGGCAGCTCATGATCTGATTAATATTTGTTTGCCATGTCAATCCATATATTTATAGAAAACACAAGTAGTATGATCAATAAATTTTCGGATTGCGGACTATTCCTTAACGTGACTTTGTGACTGAGTACACATTTTTCTTTGTGAATGCAAAATGTAACAAAAACACATGGTTCTCATTCGAATTCTTTGTCAAATCTCACTGAAACTAGATGTAGAGTATGCGTTCATCTACTGAAATAGCAGTCTTAAAGACAACCAACGATCTGTTCAATCTGTACACTATCAACCCTTTGGTGGTCTTTAGTTTTTCTATTCGTGTTTTTTTTGGAAGGTTGTTAATTTTTTCGTTTTATCTGTCTTATATTGCCTGATTTTCTATGTATTTGGCCTTTAAAATAATATTTTGTAAATGACTAAGTTCAATTTGCATAAGTACATTAATTTGATCAATGTCTAAGTTACTGTAGTAAATAAACATTTTGTGAACTTTAAATGTTTGGAAGAAGAAAATATCTATATAAATATTTGATTAGCTGATAAATTGTACAGAATACTTAATTATCCTACGCAGCATCCAATTTGTATTACAAGATGTGCGAGCCGGGGCTGATCGGGTTTATTTCATTGTTTTTCAATGCTTGTATTAGTCAATGCTACATTACTCTATTGGTTAACCTTTTGGATCGCATCCATGATGGCATAAGGTCAGAGGTTTTATAGAAAATATGAATTCAACTCTCTCAGGTAAAGTTGAATACATAGATTTAGCTTTTCTGTTTAAGGGACATCGAAGGTCGTTTCATCATAAAGCTTCTCACGTATACATTTGTGGCGTTCATATTTTTGGTTTGAACGTTCTTGGTGATATAAAACAAAAATAGCACCTCCAAATTGAGAGTGTTCATTTCATTTTCATATTTTGTTGAAAATTTGTCCTAAAGTGTCTACTGCGATTTATTTGTTATTTCGATATGATCTTAGATGTATTCTTTTTGTCTACAGAAACTTTAACATGACTTCCAGAGTTGTGTGTGGTATATGTTATCATGATATTATTATCAGAGATGCAAGGCAGTGGTGTGCAAATTGTGAAGAAGGACTTTGTGAGGACTGTGAAATAGTACATAGATCTACCAAAAATACCAGAACCCACAACATCATTTCCATTATTGATTATCAACAAATAAAGGATGTGCTGGTAAGTCATTCATGCGAGGAACATGGGATAATTTACGATTTGTACTGTCCTACACACGAAAACGCTATATGTGTCGCCTGCGTTGATCAGCATAAATCCTGTTCTGAAGTCATTCCACTATTCGAAGCTGTTGTAAATATAAAAGAGTCTACTGCATTTACGGACTTAGAAGATACGATAAATGGAGCGCTACAGAATAGTAAAAAAAATATAGATATTAAGTCATCTTCTGAAGAATTCGATAAACAAGAGGAAAATATTAAGAAAAACATACAGGAAATGCGATAAATATTAAATAAACATTTAAATGATATGGAGCAGAACTTGATCTCAGATTTCTCAACGAAATCTGGATCTTGTAAAACTTCATACGCAAATACAATTAAGCAACTTATCTCAACGGACGACAAGTTAGAAAAGTTAAAAAACAAGACCGAAAGCCTGAAACGAATTGCGTCAGATGAGCAAATATTTCTAGGAACACGAGAAATATGCAAAGTTGTTGAACAAGAGATTAATTCCATGAAAACCATATTTAATGCCGCAAAGTCATATGAAATAAACCTTGAACTTGATTCTGACATTTTTTCAACATTTTTAGACAATGTTAGTCAGCTAGGTAGCATATCAATTAAAGAAAACAATGCCAATTTGCAGTTTAAGGAAATAAAATTAAATCAAGCCCAAATGCAAGTTTCTCTGCCACTCGTTAATGTCGTACAGGAACTGCAATTGATAGAAAAGTTAAAATTGGAAAAAACTAGCTTGAAGATTGTCGTTACCGGTTGTATTTTGTTAGTAAACGGAGATATGCTTATTGCCGATCATTGGGATGCAAACATAGTATTGAAACCTTATGAATCTGGTAGTTACTATAACTACATTAAAATTCGTGGATTACCTTATGATTTAACAATGATAGATCCTGACCATATTGCTATTACATATGGAAGTTCTGGTACTAATATACTGGATGTTATTAACCTTAGTTCAGGTGCTGTAGAAAAGGAGATTCAAACTCAACAATTTGCAAAGAAACATTCTACAATAGAAGACTGTTTCGGAATATCTTACTGGGACAATAAAATTTATGTGATGGTTGAAAAGGTTGGAATAGTCGTGCTCGACACATCAGGCAAAGCCTTAGATACCATATCAATAGATACTGAAAAAGGTCGGAAAGTCGTCGTCTTTAATGACAGGATATACTATACTAACAGAAAAAAGAACACTATTCATTGTCTGAATACAGTAGGTCAAGAAATGTGGGTCTATCGAGATAAATCTATTGTTGAACCCTGTGGTTTAGCTGTAGCTAGCAACCTTGACGTGTTTGTATCATGCAGCAAATCTAACAATGTAATACTTATAAGATGCGATGGAAAAGTTAGCAAGATCGTATTGCAGAAAAGAGACAATCTAGTTAAACCTAAAGCAATACATTTCAATAGAGAAAGGAGAGAACTATTAGTATGCAATGAAAGCAACCAGCATGCTGCAGTTTACAAAGTAATATAGAGTATTTAAAACATTAAATTTCATCAATTTGATTCTTTTAACATTGTTTCCTTTATCGTAAAAACATAGATGTTCTTTAATGTGATTGTCGTTAATTCGCGATAAATGCAACTTTTATATTGTTTTCTGACGTCAACAATACGATGTGGTCAACGTTTGTCAAATTAAAGAAGGTTGACACAATATTGAAGAAAAGAGGACTTGACGCAAAGCATTGTTTATTAGGCTATATAAACATCTAGATTTCTTTTTAGAATGGTCTGTATATTAATGCGAAAAGAGATTTTTTTTAATGATATGCATTGCAAAATATATAAAGACCATGTAAATGTACAAATGATGTATGTAAATGTATATGTTTTATCTATAAAAGAGTAACTACTATTGTTCATGTTATAAGAAAGACCAGTAAGTGGAATTACGAATTTTAGTGCAATAACATTGTGTATAGGCAAATTATCATTATTGAAATAAATGACACATAGAAAGAACATCAGGAAGCCCATATTATAACAATCACACTGTGTGTTTAATCTAGTAAGCGTTTAAAAAATTTTTGTAGTTACATGATATATAACCGGTAATTGATATTTTCTAAATGATCGAGGAGATTACTTTATCTTGTTTATCATTTTGCTAGATTTAATGTGAATGGACCTTCAATACTGTTTTATAATTTTGATATTAAATGCTTTAGAATAACTGGAGATCCTTTATTGTTTGATTTTTATTTGTTGTGGCAGAATTGTTTAAAATTGTTGGCAATAAATGTTTTTGACAATTGAAGACATGATACAAATTTATTTAGATTAAACTCCTCAATCTATTTTCAAACATATCTCTACGCCTTACATTTAAATTTTCAAAAAAGGCTTGACAATTTTTTCAATCGATAATATTTAACTGTCATAATATATCTAACTAATTGTATAGACAAATTTTCGCATGAGATACCAGGTTGAAATATGAATCATAATATATAAGATTTGCTAACGATACATAAACAAATATGTACAATGTACTTTCCTTTTAAATAATCGACATAATAACTACATGTATTCCCTCTGTGACACGTTAGCATACAATGTCATCTTACATAGTTATGTCATATCAGGGAAATCTGAGAAAGGACTGATACTTTGTATCACATTCGAATGTTTGCAACTGAACAACTGAAAACAAGAGAATCAATCATGTTAGAGCATTCTACTGCATATCATTACTTGGCTTTGACTTGAGTATATTTTAGATATAAATATTCGGGCTTTAATTTATTATCTGATACAAGTATTTCAAAATGACGTTTCTATAATATTTTAGTCAAAATGCCATGATTGCATTTCACAACAAGAGATGATAATGAGATAAATGAAAAGCGTTCCGCTGTCCCTTCCTTTCCGTTGGCTCATATCTTATATGTGTATGGGCAGTAACTCGATAACATTAATTTCGTTTTTTTTTCAAACTTTTTAAGTTCACTGGCAAATCACATCTTTCCTGTGGTATCCTTTATGTATCAATACATGTAAAGATTTTAAAAAGGATCTGTTTTGAACACCAAATCCTATAAAACAAGATTAAGAACATAAACTTTAAGAAATAGCTAACACTAGCATCATTTTCTGCAGAGGCACCAACATGTAGTCTGTGTATTCATGGTTCATTGGTTGTCGTTTGTTGATGTGGTTCATAAGTATTTCTTGTTTTTTATATTGATTAGACCGTTGGTTTTCCTATGTGAATGGTTTTACACCAGTCATTTTGGAGCCCTTTATAGCTTGCTGTTAGGTGTGAGCCAAGTCTCCGTGTTGGATATCGTACTTTGACCTATAATGGTTTACTTTTACATACTGTGACTTGGATGGAGAGTTGTCTCATTGGCACTCATACAACATCTTCTAATATCTATTAACACTAGCTTATCAAAAGTTGTTCGTTCTCTAACATACTGCAAATAATGCTAGCACATATATAAATGATATAAGCAGTACACATAAGATATTCATAATTTCAACTAGCACCTCTAAATGTGTTGGAATAACTGGAGATACGATTTTGTTAAATTTCTATTTGTTGTGGCAGAATTCGTTAACTTGGTTTGTAACTTAAGATATGATACCCATTCAAAAAGATTACAGCCGATTGCATTGAGTGTGTTTACCTAATCTAATAATGACTTCACGGTTCAGCTAGCAAGCAAGCTAGCCAAATATATTACCATTATCTACACACTCAATGCAATCGGCTGTAAAAGAGGGACGAAAGATACCAGAGGGACAGTCAAACTCATAGATCGAAAACAAACTGACTACGCCATGGCCAAAAATGAAAAGACGCAAATTATCAGACTGGTACCTTTGATAACTATTTACTGACCATTGATGTTGTGTTAAAGTCTTCAAGGTCAGGGAAAGAGTATAAACGGCAACCAAAAGGTTAACTTAAAGCAGGTCAGATAAATGCTGTCAGACAGACATATACACCACCTTACAATTAGTATAGTTAACCTATCACTTATTGTTTACGATGATTGAAAAACATATAAATAAAAAACATTGACCAATGAACAATAAAAATGAGGTCAAGGTCAGATGATATCTGTCATCAAATATATAAATCTTATAGTCATTCCATACATCAATTATAGTTGACTTATTTCTTATAGTACTTGAAACAGACCAAAACACAACAAGAGTGCACACGCTGAAATGTCTCGCACGTTTTACTAACCATTGCTTTTATGTTGATAGTCCTAAATGAAAAGCTTTACTACAACTGTCACATTAACCGAACATGAACCAAGAAAATGAAATCAAGGTCAGATAAATCAAACCAGAAATACATGTCAACCTTACAATCATTCAATACACTAAATATATTTGACTTATTGTTTATAGTTTCTAAGAAACAGACTTAACCAATAAAACTAAACATTGACCATGAAAATGAGATCAAGGTAAGATAAACGATGCCAGGCAGACATGTAAACCTTTCAATCAATCTTTGTATTAAATATAGTTGACCTATTGCTTATAGTATCTAAGAAACAAACTTAATTATGAAAACTTAATATTGACCAATGAACCACCAAAATGAGGTCAAGGTCAGATGATACATGCCAGACAGACATATACAGCTTACAATCCTTCCATACAACAACTGTAGTTAACCTACTACTTATAGTTTAAGAAAAACAAACCAAAACACAAAAATTTAACACTGAGTAATGAACCGTGAAAATGAGGTCAAGGTCAAATAAAACCTGCGAGACTGACATGTACATCATAAAGTATTTCAATACACCAAATATAGTTGACCTTTTGTATATAGTATTAGAAAAAAGAGCAAAACTTAAAAAAATCACTTTGACCACTGAACAATGAAAATGAGGTCAAGGTCAGATAACACCTGCCAGTTGGACATGCACACCTTACAATGTTTTCCTTTAGCGTAAATACATAGATGTTCCTCTATGTAATTGTCATTAATTCGCGGTAAATGCAGCTTTGTTGACGTTTACTGACGTCAACAATACGATGTCGTCTAGATTTATCAGAGTAAGTATTGTTTATTATGCTAATGTTCAACATCTACGTTTATTTTTTTGTTGAACATTATTTTGTAAACATCCGTTGGTAAAACTGTTGTTTGTAATTTTTCTGCCAAACTTTAATTTCATTTCATCTTTCGAATTGTCAGTCGAAAGAAAACAATGTTCCATTCCCATATTATAATATATCACGAAGTACAATGATTACACTTTCCTTCGTGTAACATTATTCTCTTAGTTGCCGTCGGACATTGTACGGATGCCTTTGTACTAAGATAAGCAAAACGACGGTGACACATATGGAACAGGATATGATTACCCAACGGATTATCTGAGATCACCGCAAGTTTTGGTGGGGTTCGTGATGATCAGTCTTTGATTTTCTATGTTGTGTTTTGTGTACTATTATTTATCTCTTGGTCCTTTTCTTTTTTAGCCATGGCGTTGTCAGTTTATTTTTGACCTATGAGTTTGAATATGCCTTTGGTAGATTTTGCCTCTTTCGGATATTATAGTGTAAGCTTAGCAATTGAGCTTGCGCTTGACACAAAGCAAAGTTGTATTCAATTTTAATTTCCATTAAACAATAGTTTTCCAATTTTGATTAATGTTGTTTCGTTTTGTTAAAATGCTCAACAGGACTTGCATTGGAAATGAAGGCTGTATTAAGGGCTATTATGGCAAAAGTTTAAAAGGCAAAATATGATATCAATTTCAAGCTAATGGTTTGATGATTTTATATTTTATAGATGTTCTGTTAAATCGTCAGAAAATACGGTTAAGCATACATATGTTCTCACTTTTAAAGACATTCTTGGCCTATTTTAGGGTCATGGTGAAATTACAAATAACATATATTTTTGTCTTTTTGAGAACCTTTTGTAAACAGGTTTAAACCTATGACAAAGGTGGATTGAATGCGTACAGGTTTAAATTATTTAAAAGGAAAATTACTTAAAATGGCCTCATTTTCTGAAACAGCTATACGGCACATCCGGTAAGTTTAATGTGGTTTTCTTATTTTCTTTTTTTTTTTTTTTTTTCATTTATTGCAGTAGTTTAGCTTGAAAAAAGTGTTATTCTTAAATTAGTATAAAATTCAATCAAATATACATGCTTAAAAAAAGGCCTCAAATGCAACAACTGCCGTTACACATTTTATTGATTCTATCGCTACAATTGCTTACTGCGCCTTTTATAATGTGCGAAGAATTGATTAAATGTACAATTGTGAATAATGCATCATAATTAACAAAATAAATTTCAATAAAACAATAAAATCCGATAAAGTGAAAGAGCAAGCATTTAGGCAACTCATGATCTGTTTAATATTTGTTTGCCAGGTCAACCCATATATTTGTAGAAAACACAAGTAGTATGATCAATAAATGTTCGGATTGCGGACTATTCCTTAAGGTGACTTTGTGACTGAGTACACATTTTTCTTTGTGAATGCAAAATGTAACAAAAACACAAGGTTCTCATTCGAATTCTTTGTCAAATCTCACTGAAACTAGATGTAGACTATGCGTTCATCTACTGAAATAGCAGTCTTAAAGACAACCAACGATCTGTTCAATCTCTACAATATCAACCCTTATGTGGTCTTTTGTTTTTCTATTCGTGTTTTTTGGGATTGTTTTTTTTTTTCTGTCTTATATTGCCAGATATTCTATGTATTTGGCCCTAAGAATATTATTTTGTAAATGACTAAGTTCAATTTGCATAAGTACATTAATTTGATGTCTAAGTTACTGTTGTAAATAAACTTTTTGTGAACTTTAAATATTTTGAAGAAGAAAATATCTATATAAATATTTGATTAGCTAATACATTGTACCGAATACTTAATTATCCCTCGCAACATTCAATTTGTATTACAAGATGTGCGAGCCGGGGCTGATCCGTTTTAATTTCATTGTTTGTCAATGCTTGTATTAGTCAATGCTACATTTTTGTATCTTTCAACTTTATGAACTAGTACTTTACTCTATTGGTTAACCTTTTGGATCGCATCCATGATGGCATCAGGTCAGAGGTTTTATAGAAAATATGAATTCAATTCTCTCAGGTAAAGTTGAATACATGGATTTAGCTTTTCTGTTTAAGGGACATCGAAGGTCGTTTCATCATAAAGCTTCTCACGTGTCAGTAACGTTTACATTTGTGGCTTTCATATTTTGGGTTTGGACGTTCTTGGTGATATAAAACAAAAATAGCACCTCCAAATTGAGAGTGTTCATTTCATTTTCATATTTAGTTGAAAATTTGTCCTAAAGTGTCTACTACGAATTGTCTGTATTTCAATATGACCTAAGATGTTTATTTTTTGGTCTACACAAACGTTAACATGACTTCCACGATTTTGTGTGGTATATGTCATTATGAGGATACCATCAAAGATGCAAGACAGTGGTGTACAAATTGTGAAGACGGACTTTGTGAGGACTGTGAAATAGTACATGGATCTACCAAAAATACCAGAACCCACAACATCATTTCCATTATTGATTATCAACAAATAAAGGATGTGCTGGTAAGCCATTCATGCGAGCAACATGGGATAAGTTACGATTTGTACTGTCCTACAAACGACAACGCTATATGTATCGCCTGCGTTGATCAGCATAAATCCTGTTCTGAAGTCATTCCACTATTCGAAGCTGTTGTAAATATAAAAGAGTCTACTGCATTTACGACTTAGAAGATACGATAAATGGAGCGCTACAGAATAGTAAAAAAAATATTATAGATATTAAGTCATCTTTTGAAGCATTCGATAAACAAGAGGAAAATGTTAAGAAATACATTCAGGAAATGCGAGAAATATTAAATAAACATTTAAATGATATGGAGCAGAACTTGATCTCAGATTTCTCAACGAAATCTGGATCTTGTAAAACTGCATACGCAAATACAATTAGGCAACTTATCTCAACGGATGACAAGTTAGCAAAGTTAAAAAACAAGACCGAAAGCTTGAAACGAATTGCGTCAGATGAGCAAATATTTCTAGGAACGCGAGAAATATGCAAAGTTGTTGAACAAGAGATTAATTCCATGAAAACCATATTTAATGCCGCAAAGTCATATGAAATAAACTTTGAACTTGATTCTGACATTTTTTCAACATTTTTAGCCAATGTTAGTCACCTAGGCAGCATATCAATTAAAGAAAACAATGCCAATTTGCAGTTTAAGGAAATAAAATTAAATCAAGCCCAAATGCAAGTTTATCTGCCACTCGTTAATGTCGTACAGGAACTGCAATTGATAGAAAAGTTGAAATTGGAAAAAACTAGCTTAAAGATTGTCGTTACCGGTTGTATTTTGTTAGTAAACGGAGATATGCTTATTGCCGATCATTGGGATACAAACATAGTATTGAAACCTTATTAATCAGGTAGTTACTATAACTACATTAAAATTCGTGGATTACCTTATGATTTAACAATGATAGATCCTGACCATATTGCTTTTACATATGGAAGTTCTGGTACTAATATACTGGATGTTATAAAGCTTAGTTCAGGTGCTGTAGAAAAGGAGATTCAAACTTAACAATTTGCTAAGAAACATTCTACAACAGCAGATTGTTTCGGAATATCTTACTGGGACAATAAAATTTATGTAATGGTTGAAAACGTTCGAATAGTCGTGCTCGACACATCAGGCAAAGCCTTAGATACCATATCAATAGATACTGACAAAGGTCGGAAAGTCGTCGTTTTTAAAGACAGGATATACTATACGAACAGAAAAAAGAACACTATTAACTGTTTGAATACAGAGGGTCAAGAAATTTGGGTCTATCGAGATAAATCTATTCTCGAACCTTGTGGGTTAGCTGTAGCTAGCAACCTTGACGTGTTTGTATCATGCAGCAAATCTAACAATGTTATACTTATAAGATGCGATGGAAAAGATAGCAAGATCGTATTGCGGAATGGAGACAATCTAGTTAAACCTAAAGCAATACATTTCAATAGAGAAAGGAGAGAACTATTAGTATGCAATAAAAGCAACCAGAATGTTGCAGTTTACAAAGTAATATAGAGTATCTAAAACATTAAATTTCATCAATTTTATTCTTTTTACATTGTTTCCTTTATCGTTAAAACATAGATGTGCTTTAATGTGATTGTCGTTAATTCGCGATAAATGCAACTTTTATATTGTTTTCTGACGTCAACAATACGATGTGGTCAAAGTTTATCAAATTAAAGAAGGTTGACACAATATTGAAGAAAAGAGGACTTGACGCAAAGCATTGTTTGTTAGGCTATATAAACATCTAGATTTCTTTTTGCAATGGTCTGTATAATAATGCAAAAAGAGATTTGTTTAATGATATCCATTGCAAAATATATAAAGACCATGTACATGTACAAATGCATATGTTTTCTATATGTTATCTATAAAAGAGTAACTACTATTGTTCATGTTATAAGAAAGACCAGCAAGTGGAATTACGAATGTTAGTGCAATAACATTGTGTATAGGTATGTTATCATTATTGAAATAAATGACACATAGAGAGAACATCAGGAAGCCCATATTATAACAATCACACGTGTGTTTAATCTAGTTAGCGTTTTAAACATTTTTGTAGTTGCATAATATATACCCGGTAAATGATATTTCTAACCGATAGAGGAGTTACTTTATCTTGTTTATCATTTTGCTAGTTTTAATGTGATTGGACCTTCAATATTCTTTTATAATTTTGATTTTAAATGCTTTAGAATAACTGGAGATCCTTTTTTGTTTAATGTTTATTTGTTGTGGCAGAATTGTTTAAAATTGTTGGCAATAAATGTTTTTGACAATTGAAGACATGATACAAATTCATTTAGATTAAACTCCTCAATCTATTTTGAAACATATATCTACGCCTAACATTTAAATTTAAAAAAAAGGCTTGACAATTATTTTCAATCGATAATACTAAACTGTCATAATATGTTATCTAACTAATTGTATAGAACATTTTTCGCATGAGATACCAGGTTGAAATATGAGTCATAATATATAAGATTTGTTAACGATACATAAACAAATATGTAAAATGTACATTCCTTTTAAATGATCGACAAAATAAGTACATGTATTCCCTCTGCGACACGTTAGCATACAATGTCAACTTACATAGTTGTGTCACATTAGGGAAATCAGAGAAAGGACTGATACTTTGTGTCACATTCGAATGTTTTCAACTGAACAACTGAAAACAAGCAAATCAATCATGTTAGAGCATTTTACTGCATAAAATTACTTGGCTTTGACTTGAGTACATTTTAGATACAATGTACTAATATGCTAGCTTTAATGTATTATCTGATACAAGTATTTCATAATGACGTTTCAATAATATATTAGCCAAAACGCCATAATGGCATTTCACAACAAGATATGATAATGAGATAAGTGAAAAGCGTTCAATTGTCCCTTCCTTTTCGTTGGCTCATATCTTAAGTGGGTATGAGCAGTAACTCGATAACATTAATTTGGTGGGTTTTTTTCAAACTTTTTTAAGTTAACTGGCAAAACACATCTTTCCTGTAGTGTCCTTTATGTAGCAATACATGTAAAGATTTTAAAAAGGATCTGTTTTGAACACCAAATCCTATAAACATGATGAAGAACATAAACTTTAAGAAACAGCTAACACTAGCATTATTTTCTGCAGAGGCACCAACATGTAGTCTGTGTATTCATGGTTCAGTGGTTGTCGTTTGTTGATGTGGTTCATAAGTATTTCTTGTTTTTTATGTAGATTAGACCGTTGGTTTTCCTATGTGAATGGTTTTACACCAGTCATTTTGGAGCCCTTTATAGCTTGCTGTTAGGTGTGAGCCAAGTCTCCGTGTTAGATACCATACTTTGACCTATAATGGTTTACTTTAACATACTGTGACTTGGATGGGGAGTTGTCTCATTGGCACTCATACTACATCTTCTTATATCTATTAACAATAGCTTATCAAATAGTTGTTCGTTCTCTAACATACTGCAAATTTTGCTAGCACATATACAAATGATATAAGCAGTACACATAAGATATTCATAATTTCAACTAACACCTCTTAATGTGTTGGAATAACTGCAGATACGATTTTGTTAAATTTCTATTTGTTGTGGCAGAATTCGTTAACTTTGTCACCAGCCCAGTAGTCAGCACTTCGGTGTTGACATGAATATCAATAATATGGTCATTTGTTTAAAAAATTTCCCGTTACAAAACTTTGAATTTTTCGAAAAACTAAGGATTTTCTTATCCCAGGAATAGACTGCCTTAGCCGTATTTGGCACAACTGTTTGGAATTTTGGGTCCTCAATGCTCTTCAGCTTTGTAGTTGTTTGGTTTTATAACTATTTTGATCTGAAAGTCACTGATGAGTCTTGTGTAGACGAAACGCGCGTCTGGCGTACTAAATTATAATCCTGGTACGTTTGATAACTATTAGCAATTTAAGATATGATACACATTCAAAAAGATTACAGCCGATTATAATGAGTGTGTTTATCTAACCTAATAATGTCTTCACGGTTCAGCTAGCAAGCAAGCTAACCAGATATATAACCTTTCTCTACACACTCAATGCAATCGGCTGTAAACTCCGCAATCTATTTTGAAACATATCTCTACATCTTACATTACATAAAGGCTTGACATGTATTTGCAATCGATAATATTTAACTGTTATCTAACTTATTGTATAGAAAACTTTTGACATGAGATACCAGGTTGAAATATATTATATTTCCACCTGGTATCTCATGTGAAACGATTTCTATACAATCAGTTTATAGATGTCATAAAACTTAACAATTTAACTTAACCTTGCTCTGATGTAATAAATAATAAACTTATGAATTTTGATGAGTTTTTTCATCATATTGTTTTGATTTTGATATATATTTTGATAAATTCAAAGGCAAATAAAAAAAAACAATGTAAAAAATATAACCCCGTAGGAATAATCAATAGGCGTTAAGTGCACACGCTGAAATGTCTCAACTGATTATACTTTCTTATCCTTGTTTGGCTTTCTTACTATTTTGATCTGAGCGTCACTGATAAGTCTTATGTAGACGAAACGCGCGTCTGGTGTATCAAATTATAAGATTGGTACCTTTGATAACTATTTACTGACCATTGATGTTGTGTTAAAAGTCTTCAAGGTCAGGGAAAGAGTATAAACGGCAACCAAAGGGTTTAACTAAAAGCATAACTGAAAAGCAGGCCAAATAAATGCTGTCAGACAGATATATACACCACCTAACAATTAGTATAGTTTACCTATCACTTATTGTTTATGATGATTTAAAAACATATAAATAGAATAACATTGACCAATGAACCATGAAAATGAGGTCAAGGTCAGATGATATCTGCCATAAAAAATATACATCTTATAGTCATTCCATACATCAAATACAGTTGACCTATATCTTATAGTACTTGAAACAGAGCAAAACACAACAAGAGTGCACACGCTGAAATGTCTCGCCTTCATTACTAACCATTGATATTATGTTGATAGTCCTAAATGAAAAGCCTTACTACAACTACCACATAAACTGAACATGAACCAAGAAAATGAGATCAAGGTCAGATAAACAAAACGAGAACTATATGTCAACCGTACAATCATTCAATACACTAAATATCGTTGACTTATTGCTTATAGTTTCTAAGAAATAGACTGAACCATAAAAACTAAACATTGACAAAGGGACCATGAAAATGAGGTCAAGGTCGTATGAACGATGCCAGGCAGACATGTAAACCTTTCAATCAATATATGTATTAAATTATAGCTGACCTATTGCTTATAGTAACTAAGAAACAAACTCAACCATGAAAACTTAATACTGTGGATTCATTAATATTCGTTGGATACTAACTTTCGTGGATTTCGTTGGTACAGGGGAACCACGAATTTAAATGTTCAACGAATTACAAATGTATGCAGACTTTGCCAAAACTACGAACTTAAATTTCCTCTAATATGCAAGTTTTCCTCAATCCACGAAAATTGGTACCAACGGAAAAAAAATGAATCCACAGTATTGACCAATGAAACACCACCAAAATGAGGTCAAGGTCAGATGATATCTGAAAGACAGACATATACAGCTTACAATCCTTCCACACAACAAATATAGTTGACCTATTGCTTATAGTTTTAGAAAAACAGACCGAAACACAAAAAATGAACACTGAGCAAAGAATAGTTATCAACGGTACCAGGATTATAATTTAATACGCCAGACGCTCGTTTCGTCTACACAAGACTCATCAGTGACGCTCAGAACAAAATAGTTATTAAGCCAAACAAGTACAAGTTGAAAAGCATAATGAACCTTGAAAATGAGGTAAAGGTCAAATAAAACCTGCCAGACTGACATGTATATCATAAAGTATTTCCATACACCAAATATAGTTGACCTATTGTATATAGTTTTAGAAAAAAATGCCAAAACTTAAAAATCTTACTTTGACCACTGAACCATCAAAATGAGGTCAAGGTCAGATGAAACCTGCCAGTTGGATATGCACACCTTACATTTTTTTCATTTAACGTAAATACATAGATATTCCTCTATGTAATTGTCATTAATTCGCGGTAAATGCAGTCAAGGTTTGGCAAAGTGAAGTATTGTTTATTATGCTATATTAACATCTACGTTTATTTTTTGTTGTTGAACATTATTTTGTAAACACCCGTTGGTAAAACTGTTGTTTGTGATTTATCTGCCAAAATTTAATTTCATTTCATCTTCAGAATTGTCAGTCGAAAGAAAAAAAAAGGTTCCATTCCCGTATTATAATATATCGCGAAGTACAATGATTACACTTTCCTTCGTGTAACATTATTCTCGTAGTTGCCACTGGACATTGTATGGATGTCTTTGTACTAAGATAAGCAAAACGACGGTGACACACATGGAACAGGATCTGATTACCCACCGGATCATCTGAGATCACCGCAAGTTTTGGTGGGTTTCGTTTTGATCAGTCTTTGATTTTCTATGTTGTATTTTGTGTACTTTTATGTATCTGTTGGTCCTTTTCTTCTTAAGCCATGGCGCTGTCAGTTGATTTTTGACTTATGAGTTTGGATATGCCTTTGATAGCTTTTGCCTCTTTCGGATATTAGTGTGTAAGCTTAGCAGTTGAGCTTGCGTTTTACACATTGCAAAGGTGTATTCAATTATTTTTTTTATTAAACAATAGTTTTCTAATTTTGATGAATGTTGTTTCGTTTTGTAAAAATTCTCAACAGAACTTGCACTGGAAACGAAGACAGTATTTATGTCTATTATGGCAGAATCTATATAATTATTTATTTATCAGAACGTTTTCTTATTCCTATAAAAAAAAATATGAAATGTTGTATAAGAGAGGGGTGAAAGATATCAGAGGGACAGTCAAACTCATAGATAAAAAATAAACTGACAACGCCATGGCTAAAAATGAAACAGACAAACAGACAAATAATAGTGCACATGACACAACATAGGAAACTAAAGACTAAGCAACACGAACCCCACCAAAAACTTGGGGTGTATATTGACAATGCGATAACTCTCCATAATAGACATATGACACAGAAATTAACAACTATAGGTCACCCTACGGACATAAAATATGAGCAGAGCCCATACCGCATAGGCAGCAATAAAAGGCCTCAAAATGAACAATGTAAAACAACAAAACCAATGACCTTATTAATGTACAAAATAATAAACGAAATGCAAATTTGTAACACAACAACAAACGACAATCTACTGAATCACATGCTCATGACCTGGGACAGGCACACA